GCTGAAGCTTCCACATCTAAGGGTAGTATCTCGGCTTTACCTGGTATGGCATTCTCTTCATCCACTTTACATTTTGTTGGTGCTCTACAGGCCACCAACAATATATTGTCGTCTGCATCTTGGGTTGTAGATAGTGGAGCTACACATCATGTTTGTCATGATAAAGATTTGTTTGTCTGTCTATCTACTGCTCTTCATTCTTCAGTGACTTTACCTACTGGTTTGGGAGTACAAATTGCAGGAATTGGTTCTGTCAAGATGAATGACACTCTGATTCTCAAGAATGTTTTGTTTATCCCAGATTTTCGTCTTAATCTTTTGAGTATAAGTCAGTTGACTAAGGATTTGGGTTACAGAGTTGTATTTGATCCAACGTCTTGTATGATACAGGATCCTATCAAGGGGTTGATGATTGAACAGGGTGAAGCTATAGCTAATCTATATGTGCTAGACATGGACACCATTCGTCAGAATCTTCATGACAAGCTTGCCTTATGTTCTAATGTTGTTTTTTATTCCTCTGTTTGGCACAATAGATTGGGACATCCGTCTTTACAGAAAACAGATTTTATTACTCATGTATTGGGTTTAAAACACAAGAATAAAGATGCGTTTCATTGTGCCATTTGTCCTTTGGCTAAACAGAAACACCTACCTTATAATTCTCAAAACAATATGTGTGCTACTGCTTTTGAATTGTTACATATTGATGTTTGGGGTCCGTTCTCTGTTTCAACATCTGAAGGTTATCGGTATTTTCTCACCATTGTGGATGATCATTCAAGAGTTACATGGATTTATCTTATGAGAACCAAGGATGAAGTTCTGCATATCTTTCCGGATTTCTTAAAGATGATTGAAACACAGTACAGTGGAGTGGTTAAAGGGGTACGTTCTGATAATGCCAATGAGTTGAGGTTTACAGATCTTTTCAAGCGCAAAGGGATTGTATCTTTTCACTCTTGTCCAGAAACACCACAACAAAACTCTGTGGTAGAGCGTAAGCACCAACACATTTTGAATGTGGCTAGAGCTCTCATGTTTCAAGCAAGGATTCCTTTGGAATTTTGGGGGGGGATTGTGTTCTTACGGCTGTGTTCCTCATCAACCGTCTTCCTAGTCCTTTGTTGCAGAACAAGAGTCCTTTTGAAGTCTTGACCTCCAAGAAACCAGATCATAATGGTTTGCGTGTGTTTGGTTGTTTAGCTTATAGCTCAACATCATCTAAAAACAGACACAAGTTCAAACCAAGAGCTCGTCCTTGTGTATTCCTTGGATACCCTTCTGGATACAAAGGATATAAGCTGTTAGATGTTGAGACAAATCAAACTCACATCTCTCGGAATGTTGTATTTCATGAAGATATTTTTCCTTTTACTGAAGATATCTCTGTTTCTGATCTGGATGGATTTCTTTCTGGAGCTGATGTTGTTGAACAGGATTCTACTAAGGTGGTGAAAGATGGAGTTCCTGCAGATATACCCAGAGAGTTACCTGCAGTAGTGAACATTCCATCTCATCCATCTGTTACAACAACTGAGGGCGAATCTAGTAAGCGGAATTCTAAGACTCCAGCTTACTTACAAGATTATTTTTGCAATATGAATACCACGGAGATACCTTATCCAATGGTGAATTATCTGTCTTATGATAAACTGTCAGAAGGTTATAAAGCTTATATTTAATCTGTTAATCTTCATGCGGAACCGAGTTCTTTTGCTCAGGCCAAGAAGTTTGATGAGTGGTTAAAAGCAATGAATGATGAGCTTTTGGCTTTAGAGAGTACAGACACATGGGAGATTTGCTCTTTACCTTCTGGAAAGCATGCTATTGGTTGTCGTTGGGTGTACAAAGTTAAACTCAATGCCGATGGTACACTAGAAAGATACAAAGCAAGATTAGTTGCTAAAGGTTATACACAAAGAGAAGGAGTGGACTTTGTTGATACTTTCTCTCCGGTAGCCAAAATGACAACAGTGAAGACTTTGATAGCTGTTGCAGCAGCAAAGAAGTGGAAACTTAGTCAACTTGACATTTCCAATGCCTTTTTGAATGGTGATTTAACAGAGGAAATCTATATGTCTCTTCCTCCTGGTTATACACCACAAGAGGGCACTAATCTTCCTCCTAACCCAGTGTGTCGCTTGAAGAAGTCTATATATGGGTTAAAACAAGCATCCAGACAGTGGTTTCTCAAGTTTAGTTCCACTTTACGGAAGCTGAGGTTCAAGAAGTCTCACTCAGACACATTGTTTGTACGCAACAATAATGGTAAGTACATTGCCGTCTTGGTCTATGTAGATGATATTATTGTTGCTAGCAATGATGATGAAGAAGCAGAGTGTTTTAAGGATGATCTGAAGAAAGCTTTTAAGTTGCGTGATCTTGGAGAATTGAAATATTTTCTTGGCTTGGAAGTTGCAAGATCTACCAGTGGTATCTCTGTTTGTCAACGCAAATATACCTTGGAATTACTTGAAGAAACAGGGATGTTGGCTTGTAAGCCATTTAGTATTCCTATGGAACCAAGTTTGAAGCTTGTTCAACACTCTACTGAACCTTTACTTGAAGATGGGAGTGTTTATCGGCGTTTGGTTGGCAAGATGATGTATTTGACCATCACTAGGCCTGATATTATTTTGCAGTCAACAAGCTTTGTCAGTTTTCTTCTGCTCCTAAGGTGTCTCATCTTAAGGCTGCTTATAAAGTGCTGCATTATCTAAAGGGAACGGTTGGTCTTGGTCTGTTTTATTCAGTCAATTCAAATCTTACTCTGCAAGCATTTACTGATGCGGATTGGGCTTCTTGTCCTGATACTAGAAGATCTACTTCTGGTTTTACAGTCTTTCTTGGCTCAGCTCTTATTTCCTGGAAGTCTAAGAAACAACATGTGGTCTCTCATTCTTCAGCAGAATCTGAGTATCGCGCAATGGCATTTGCAGTTCGAGAACTCATTTGGCTTATTGGTCTAGTAAAGGAGTTGCAGATACCACAGCAAGGACCAGTTGTTCTGTTTTGTGATTCTACAGCAGCAATTCACATTGCAAACAATGCTGTTTTTCACGAGAGAACTAAACATATTGAGCTAGACTGTCATCAGGTACGTGATAGGATTGAGGAGGGGCTTATTAAAACACTGCATGTTTGCACTGATCAACAAATTGCAGATGTTTTTACTAAGCCTTTGTTCCCTACACAGTTCAACAAACTCGTTGCCAAGATGTCTCTCACAAGCTTGTATTGACATCTTGAGGAGGGGTATTAATATAGAGAGTTTCGTTCTGGTTTACACTAACCATTGATTGATTGTATTTTGGTTAGGTGAATGTATTTTGGTACGGTTTAGTTCTTTTATTTTCACTTCCTCTATTAGGAGTGTGTGATGTAACAGAAACATTTATGATGAATAACAAACTATTTTGATCATCATCTTCTCTCTCGTTTACATTCTGTTAGAGATCCGTTTATCGAAAGCAATTATGGAGTGCACTCTAGGCCTTTTGAAGTTGGCGTCTTGGATTGGTTTGCTCGTCTCTGGGAGATTAAAAGAGATGACTACTGGGGTTACATCACTAACTGTGGCACAGAAGGAAACCTTCACGGCATTTTAGTTGGGTACGTTTTGTTTGTTTGTGTGATCGGTTTTCATTCGGTTCTTGATATTTGTTTTTTCTTTTCTTTTTGAGTCTTTTTCAGGCGAGAGATGTTACCTGATGGGATTCTGTATGCGTCTACTGAATCGCATTACTCTGTGTTTAAAGCAGCTCGTATGTATCGAATGGAGTGTGAGAAGGTTGATACGCTTATCTCGGGGGAAATAGACTGTGATGATCTCAGACGAAAGCTGTTGGCTAATAAAGATAAACCCGCGATTCTTAATGTTAACATAGGTTTGTGTTTGTTACTTGGTTTGTGTGTTAGGAATGGTTTGATTTTTTCTGATGGTTGTTACTTCTTGCAGGAACAACGGTTAAAGGAGCTGTGGATGATCTCGACCTTGTTATCAAAACTCTTGAAGTGTCTGGGTTCTCACATGACAGGTTCTATATTCACTGCGATGGAGCTCTGTTTGGACGTATGATGCCTTTTGTCAAACGTGTAAGTATATTGTCTTCAATCATATACCATTCTGATAACCTAAACTGTGCTCTGTCTGACGATTCTTTTTTTTCTCTCCTCTATGTAGGCACCAAAAGTCACGTTCAATAAACCGATAGGGAGTGTGAGTGTGTCGGGCAACAAATTTGTCGGGTGTCCAATGCCTTGTGGTGTTCAGATAACAAGAATGAAACACATCAAAGCCCTATTCAGTAACGTTGAGTACCTGGCGTCAAGGGATGCAACAATCATGGGAAGCAGAAACGGGCATGCTCCTTTGTTTCTTTGGTACACTCTAAACCGGAAAGGGTACAAAGGATTCCAGAAAGAAGTTCAGAAGTGCCTGAGAAATGCCCATTACCTTAAAGACAGACTCCGTGAAGCTGGGATCAGTGTCATGCTCAACGAGCTTAGCAGCACTGTTGTCTTTGAAAGGCCCAAAGATGAAGAATTTGTTAGAAGGTGGCAGCTCGCTTGCCAAGGCGATATAGCTCATGTGGTGGTGATGCCAAGTGTTACAATCGAGAAGCTCGATCATTTTCTCAAAGACCTGGTCGAACACAGATCGGTCTGGTGTAACGATGGATCTCAAACACCATGCCTTGCAAAGGATGTAGGAACCAACAACTGCATCTGTCCAGCTCACAAGTGACCGTGCAGTTTCACCATATGTTTGTCATTTCTTTGGTTTTCTGGTTTTAATTTTCTATCGTTACAGTAACGAAATCTCGTAGCTCTCATAATTGACCGTTCCGTTTCACCATATGTTTGTATTTCTTTGTTTTTTGGTTTTAAACTTCTATCCGTTGCACTAACGAAATCTCGTAAAATTTTGTTGGTTTAAGCCATGTTGTGTGATGTATCTATATGCATTTTAGATGATTGGTGGCGCTAAACTTTGTGTAAATATGTTTGCTATAAAGATTTCTGAATATTACAGTGGTTACTACTCTCAAAATAGAATAACCGTGTATTGACATGAAAATACCACTCCATAGACGCACATTCAAACTACTAACACAGATCATAATTATGTACACACATCCAATTTTGCATCCCAAATGAGAATACGGTAGTGGTAACTAAGCTAAGATTCGGAACTTAGCCTCTCTTGGTGAAATCCATGAAGCTCGATGGCTGCCCATTTGTCGACTGCTGAGATGAGAATTGCCCGCGCTTGGTGTATGAATATCCATCCCCTTGAGGAATTTCTCCAGCGGCTATCTTGAGTCGGTTCAGTTCTCCCCGCAGTGCTTCATTCAAAGCTGAAAGTTACACCGAACAATATTATGTTTATCAAAACATTGGTTTATGTTATATGCAAAGCTACTTTTTCAGAACGATCCAGTGAAAGTGGCTTACCATCCCTAAGTTCAGCTTGTTGCTCTAATGCTTGCAACCGCATTTTGAGGTGTTTGTTTTCAGTGGTCAGGTCTGATGTTCCTCTCTGCGCAGTAGAGAAGCACATGTTAGAATGGATACAGAAGTGCGCAAACACAAAAGATTTATCTTACTCCATAATTTCTCAAGTGTATACAAAAATCACAATAGCAACTGTTTTTATTATACTACTGACAGATTGATTGAATTAACACAACAATAACTGCTTGTATACTAATAAGAATCTTTATGGATCATGAACTGTTAGTTAAAGTCCAGAACACAACAACAAGTTGCAGAGATCTCTAAATACCGAGAAGCAATCTTAAACACATTAGGCCTCAATCAAGTTAAGCAATCCAAAACCATGTCTAATCTAATCAAATCAACATAGCAGGTAACGTGGAGACGTACAGATACTCAAATACATAAACACAATGGCTTAAAGAAATGGTGTGCGTGACCACTTTCATTACCTGCAATATAGTGACTTGAGCAGAAAGTGTAGTTGCTTCATTCTGAAGTGTCTGTACTTTCCTCTCCAGCTCACCAGTATACCTAATCTTCCTCTCTTTTGACCTCGCCGCAGATTGTCTATTTGCTAGAATCCTATCAAGAATCATCACAAAGACTATGAATCAAAGTATGTTAAAAGGAAAAAACGACCCTAATTTCTGAGGATACTTACCGTTTAGCTCTTTTGGGATCAAGCAACGCAAGCTCGGCGAGTCTGTCACTAGCCATACCCATGTTAATCTTAGCACCGTCTTTGCAATTAACGGCGGCAAGAATCGAATCTATGTTAAACGAACCCGAGCTTGTAGCTCCATCCATCGAATTACTCCGCTGATGACCATCTTTCCTCCCACCGGAGCTTGTAGGTCGAGCGATTTGATTATCCTCGGTGGCTGTTAGATCGTCGAAGAAATCAGATTCGGAATCAACTGAGAAGCTTCGAACGTGCCGGCCAGGAGGAAGAGGAATCGGCGGAACACTGTTGGATGAGGTTTCTTCGGGTGGAGAATCAACGGACATCGGAGACGGTCGTGGTTGTGGTTGTGGTTGAGGTGTTGGAGCGTTGAGGAAATCGAGAGAAGAGAAATCAACATCGGAAGGATCGAAAAGGAGGAGATCGTCGAGTGATTCGCCGGAGAAGAAAGTGTCGGAGCGAGCTCGACGATGATGAGAGATGCGCTGACGTGGAGCTTCTGGCATACGTTCGATTTCGCTAAGAATCGATGATTGGTTTGCTCTCAGGGCAGGCTCCATCGTTTTTTTCCACCGGCGGCGAGGTTTGAGGTATAAGTAGTTTTACCAACCAAAAGGAGAGAAGGTCTTGAAGACGAAATGACAGAACAGAATTTTGTCAAGATGGGCAACAAGTAGGGGAGAACGATCTGACATTTGGTCTGAATAAACCTATTTTCTCGAATCTTATCAATATCGCTTATATATTACAGTTATTATTTGAGGATCACTTTTAATAAATAATCCTACCCATGTATGTGATTAACAAACTGACAATTCTTTCAAATAATATTTTTCTTAAGTTTTTGTCATAAATAAAATTTTAAAAAGAAAATAAAAAAATTCATTAAAGAGACAAAAGATTTTGTACATCTTGTTTTATAAATATAAATAATAAATAAATATAAAAATAAAAAGATAAAAAAACTAAATATAAAAAAATGAGAAAACAGTTATTAAAATACCCAACTTGCTCATTTTTACCAAAAAACTCATAAACTTTCCATTAATTTGATTAAATACCAAACTTATATTGATTGAGCCATGACAAATATATTTTTAGTCAACAGATATCACAGTATATAATCTGACTAGAGTTAACGGCGAATTGAACTTTGGCGTTTGAAAATTAGAGTCTTTTAACACAAATCTCCAAATCAAATACGTAAAACCCTTAATCCTAATTTGATTTATCTATACCATCTCTCTTCTCCTCCTAATCCAAAAAGTGAGACTTTGATCTATTTAAGAGAGAAGCCATCACTTATGGAAAGCAATCATGTTTAATCCTTCTTGTAACAACCCGTTCCCCCGGCGCCTGACCGGGGTTCAGCAAACGGATACTACGGACACATGTATACTCAATTAGACAACCCTACATGTCCTTATTCGCCCCAGGAGTCGGCGGATGCATCTTTTAATGAAATTCGATCCACCCTTATCCACATACTTCTACATACAGTCCTGCGCATAGGAAGTAAATATGGAGGGATGAGCAATTGGGATTACTCAGTGAAGTGACTTTAGACCAGCCTGTCCGCATGACACTCTACACTATCTCATACGGAAAGCAAGACTGACTAGCCACTACAATCAATATGCATCAAACAAGCCGTACAACAACATCTCAACATAGAATTCTAGCACCCTAACGTTCATACATTTGCAAGGACTCAGCCATCACTTCACATAGACTCATTCACACAATCATCCTTTTTACCTAGACTCATCAATCAACCTAGACCTCTAGGACCTATGGCCGTTTACGGATGTCCCTACGCGTTCCGGCCTAACCTGAAAGGGGTTCCCACTCTGGAGAAACCATTTCCCCCCTCCAGCTTCCTAGTAACCACCCGCGGGGAGCTCGTTGGCCCACGTGCAGCACCTACTGGCCCACGTGCAACACTGTCTACCCGCGGCTCCCGTCCGTACACGGTCAGATGGTCACAATTTGCCACGACTCGGCATTGACTCGATCTTAAGGCGCCTATTCCTAACTTTACTCCGCCTTGGCGGTTGCCGTCCGTACACAGCCTTTCACTTTCTGCCCACGGGAACGTCCTCCGTTGGGCCAACACATCCTAGACTCTAGACGCCCACCCGTTCTCGGTGGCCCAAACAAGACTTCAAACATGTTCATTGCCTCGACTACTTTCTCATTCTCATTCACATTCACTTTACTCGTTCACTTTACTCATTCACTTTACTCATTCAATATCCTTTTCACGTTCACTTCCACTTTAACTTTCACTTCAACTCATTCATTGACACTTAGACTCTTTCCTACATTCTAGACGCCACCCATTCTCGGTGTCTCACACATTACACTTCATATAGCAACAATATCATTAGCATCACATTATCATACATCCACCTATCTCATATCACATGCACATCTACCACGAGTTATCATATCATTCACTTTTCTCTAACAACCTAGTTTCCATCCACAATCAACATATGGGACATCGATCAATCACACAAATATTCATAGCAATCATTATCCACATCAACACAAGGCAGTCCATTAAGTCCCATTTATCAGTGTGAGGGTTCTTATGCATCATGATTCAATCATCTAACAACCTAACTCCCATTATGATCTATCATCCTAACTTTCAAACAATAGCTAGCCATACCTTAGTTCCACCATCAGCTAGAATAGAGAATAGGAGAACATATCTAGGTCGAGTCACCTCACCTTAGCCTAGATCTGGAAAACGGGATCTGGATCTGAGGACCAGAGAGAAGAGAGACGAGATCTAGTCACCACCACCACACACGGCTACATTACCATCACGCGGCACCACCACCGCAACCTCCACGTCGGCTACACCACCACCACGTCGGTGAGAAGAGAAGAGACGGACGGTGATGATAGAGAAGAGAGAGATCGCGAAAGGGAAGAAGAAGAAAAAGAAGAAGGAGGCGAAGAAGAAGTTGACGGCTAGGGTTTTCGTGTCTCCCGGGATTTTTCTGCAGAGCTTCGCTTCGTGTTGTGTGAATGAGGCAAAAGAGAAGGAGGCAGCCCCTTTATATGGGAAAGAGAAGGAAATCCTAGGGTTTTAACCCTAATGGGCTGTAGACAGGCCCATCTACCTTATGAAATTTTTTTGGGCCAAGTCATGGGTTGTTACACTTCTGCATGTAGAATAACTCGAAGAAAAATATGATACAAAGAGTTTGATAAAAACTAGTGCAGGATGCAGAACATATGGCTCCAAATCCAATGAACCAGCCATAAGCTGAGTTGAAAATGTTGAAAAGCTAGATGGAGAATCAGCTAAGTGGAGGAGATGATGTGGCTACTACTACAAAAAGAGATCATCTGGTTGCTTAGATGTGACGATCCCATCTTCTTTTTGATTTGCATTACAACCTAATTATATAACAGCAAACAATGTGACTCTGTTGTGTAAACGGTTGACGTTTACTTCTGAAATGTGATCTCAAAAGATAATTATATTATGTAGGGGTTGTACAATTTCGTTAAAGTCAAACTCTTCTTAATTGATGAACAATGATCTAATATTCAAACCCTGAACCAAAAAAAAAAAAAAAATCACTTTCTAGTGATTCTCAAACTCATAAGACATGGATTGATTTTGTTTCTGAGTTATCATCAATCTCTTTCTCTGCTTCGAGTTACTTCAGTATTCACATACTAAGAAATGTGAATATCTTCATCATCATTCTCATCACTAAAGTATCCAACTTTCTTCCTTGCAGCTCCTTCCTCTTCTCCCTTCTCTCTTCTTCTTCTCCCGCCTCTCCTCAGCTTCATTGTCCACCAACGAAGCCGAATTATCCTCCTCCAATCCTTCTGTCACATCCGTCAATCCTCGTCCTCTTCATTGTCTTAATTGGGATCAATACAACATACATAAAGCAAAAAAANATATTTGGATTCTGGACGGTGGAAAAGCTTGGAAACAAGCTTTAAACCGGTGTCAAGGTAACTATTTACATGCTTTTCGTCATATCTCTGATCTGTATCGCGAAAGTAGACTGTATTATATGTCTACACATACGTGTAGACTTACGATGCAGTCTACTTGTCAACGCACAGGTTACTTTTGCAATTGACCAAAATAATTATTTTTGTAATGTAGACCTACAAGTACGTCAACGTCTTTACCTTTGAAACCAAAAACAAAAAAATTGGTAGACTTATTAAGAAATCTACATAAAACAGGTTAGATTTGCATTTGACCAAAATTTTGACTTACCATAGTAGACTTTCGTGGAGGTCTACACTTTGTAGACTGCTAGGTAAGTCTACGGAAAGTTAGTTTTGCATTTGACCAAAACTTTGACTTCGTTGAATAGGTTTCTTTTGTATTTGACTAAAATATTTAGAAGCTACCTAAAAATTACTTTACGTGTAGACTTCATATGCAGTCTACAAATCTTAGGAAAAAAAAGTAGACTGCATATGAAGTCTACTATTTTATGTTGGTCAATTGCAAATCTAACTTGTCGGGTTATAATGTAGACTTTTACTGCAGTCTACAGTTACGTAGATATTTAGTTTTGTCTACTTGTAGAAAGTCAACTTTGGTCAATTGCAAAACTAACCTCTTTCAAACAAATTTAAAAATGTAGACTACATAATAAGTCTACTTCTAAAAGTCAAACTCTGAACGAATTCTGGTCAACTGCAAAACTAACTTTTTAAAAAATGTAGACTAAAAAGTAAGTTTACTCGTATAAAATCACATCTTTTTTTTCAAATACATAAAGTAACCCGTGAATTTGACAATTGCAAAAACCAACCTAAACGTAGACCTAATTTGCAGTCTACATACTGTAAACTGAATAAAACATCTACACTTCTGTAGACTGAATATGTAGTCTACCTTGTAAAATCTATCAAAAGTGGATTTGTGTATTATTCATTAAGTTTTTTTCAAATTTTTTTTGTTATGAAAGTGTGTGTTAGTTAATCATAAGGGTCTTGAATGATTTTCAGAAGATAATCTGTTATAATTAGGAAGTTATCAATTTTTTTGTTTGTCTATGTTGTTAGCTTAAAATTTGTAGACGTACTTGTAAGTCTATGATATAATTTTTGGTTTAACTATATTGTTTGCTAATAATTGTAGATGTACTTGTAAGTCTATTTTATAATTTTATCAAACATGAAATTTTTGTTTGCTAATTATGTAAACCGTATTTTTTTTTTGCAGGAGATGGCTCAATTACTCGTTGTATACAGAGAATGGGTGGTGAAAAACTCTAGATGTGTTAGTGTTATGTGTCGAACTTATGAGTTGTCTTATTGCTATGGATGTTCTATTATGTATTAGTGTCTCATTGAGTTGTCTTCTATTGGATTTGTAAGTCTTTAGTCTGTGTTGAACTTATAAACTATATTGTTGCTTTGGATGTTGTCTAACGTGATAAACTTATGTTATATTTTCCTCTGTTAAGTAGATTTTTTTGTAAGTCTACAAAAAAGAATACTAATAAGTATCAAGAATGGTCTGTCAAGTAGACTTATATACTTGACTCTATACTTGACTCTATACTTGACAAGAAGCAGTGGGATAACCAATAAAATTTTTTTTATAAGAGCATGATTATCCCACAACCCGATTTTAGATTTCTTAAACAAAATTGAAGTTTCAAACAAAATTGAAGTTCCATCTTCTTC